CTTCCTTTAGCTTGAAAAGATTAATAATCTGACCATCGTGGTCTGCAATGTATTCCATAGTCTGAAACCACAGAATAAAGCAACAGAATAGACAATGAGTGTTTCAAGAACGAAACAGTAGACAGCCACAGCAAAAGTGTGTTCCATACATCCTGCTTATTCAAGGCAGCTGAAGAATGAGATAAATTTATTTATTACCTGCTTTTATCAAAGGGCTGACATTACTAGTGCTACTTCTAATAATAATATTGCTACTACTTCTGTGAGCTGGGAGTAGCTGAGTCAGTATCGTGAATGACCGTGAACTGGATGACTGGCAGAGCCAAAGAATCTTTCTTCTAGCCTTTGCATCTAGACCGGCTCTGAGGCCGGCCCAGCCTCCTATCCATTGGGTACCCTGCATCCTTTCTCCAGGGATAAACACAGCCAGCGTGTGATGCTGACCACCCCATTTAGTGCCAAAGTATGTCCGTTGAAACGGATATACTTTACTTGTCCTACTGCTGGTATTATCTTTTTTGAGACAATAATAATACTTTGGAGCAGAAAAGCTCATGGCATGATGCTAAGGCAAAGCAATAACTTTACCACCTAGGCTGGGGCCACACAACTGTACAAAGTATGTCCGTTGAAACGGACATACTTTTGTATGGACGTAGGTGAGGGCACCACATGAATGCCAATTACCGTGGCAGCTTGAAAGGATTTATATATATATAAAGTATTGTCTGTACTTACAAATCATAATTCTATGAAGGACATCACGATGTGCATTACAACGGATGTACTTTGTGCAGTCATGTGGCCCCAGCGGTAACCTTTGGCAATGTTGAAGGAGAATTATAAGCAAACTGTAGTAACCTTTGGCAACGTTGAAGGAGAATTATAAGCAAACTGTATATGCACAGGCATTTATTTACAGCCACTTACCTGCAGCTTGAGATATCTGGAATTTCGCACTAGATTGACAACATCATGGAAGTGTGTGGATGCTAGAACATGTGGGCACTTCACTCCACGGCTCAAAAAGTGATCCAGACAGGAAGAAAGGAGTGCCAGACCATCAATCTCAGTTGTTCCCTTTCCAAATTCATCCACAATGATCAGGGAAGATGGTGTGGAACAATACAGTGACTGAGTCATCTGTAATGATTTATGAAACAATGCAGATAACTGAAAAAATAATTAAATATACTCAAAACTGTCTCTTTCTTTTGTACAAAACCTGATGCTTGGATTATAAATCATACATTTTTAAAAACACAGAAAACAATTACTAAAGCTACATAAACCCCTGAAACACATCATTTTCACAAAATAAAGGTATATGAAGTTGTGAAAGCCATGAGAGAAAGTGTATGGTACAAATACAAAATATGACTGAAGAATATAGGTCTGATTCTCACTATGTTACAACCCTTGCTACTGAGCAACTAACAAGTGCCTGCTGTCTTGTACGGATCATAGAATAAGCAAGGTTTACCTGTTTCAAATCAATCATGAATGCAGAGATGTTGGTTGCAATAGATTCAACAGTCTGAATGCGTGTGTGAATATGACGAAGTATTCCAATCTTTGAACTCTTCGCAGGAACAAAGCTGCCAATATGAGCAAGGTATGCAATGAGGGCAACCTATATACAGACATTAAAAAGAATAACTTCACATGTTTGGCAACAGAACACAATTAAAATACACGTTACTCATTAGATTCTAAGCAGAAGAAAGTTTATGAAGATACAAACAGTAAACATCAGACCACAAAGGTTAATTTTGATTTACAACTTTAATTTGTGAGGTGATACAGTCATGTGTTCGTAATGAGTTAACGCAATAACATGCTCGCCTTTTCATTACAAGTAGAATAGTGAGATCTAAAGTTTCTGTGACAAAGAGGATGACAATGTTGTTATTTTTGTGGCACTGTATCGACTTGAAGGTAGAAACCAACGTTTCGGGAAACATACTGCCTCCATCTTAACGGCTGAGACAGTACATTTCTCCAAAACATTGTTAACATTCATGTCTGAAAATAAAATACCACTGATTCATTACCTGTTTCAGATAGACACTCTTGCCACTAGAATTAGGTCCTGTGATAATCTTCATAAGGCTATGTTGATCTCCAGAGAAAGTGTCATTTGGAACAAAGTCATCGACACACAGCTCTTGCAAGGGATGTCGCCCACCTTCAATCTCCAGCACTCGCTCCTGTGTCAGTACCGGTCGCGTGTAATTGTTTTCCTTGGCCACCAAAGCCAGGGCAATCAAGCTGATATTAGGGAACAAGGAACACATCTTGGTAATTCCACTATTTCTGAAAAATGTGTCATTTCCAACTTGATATTGTACAGAAATATCTCACTATTTTTTTTTCAACTTAATTTTCAGCTATCAAATGTCACATATGGAATTCTTTGTAAAACAACAAAAATGTTATAAATGTTGCATTGGTTGGTATTTATTTCATAACAAATACAAACAGTATGGGAGGTGTGGAACTTTTACTATTTTGGTGGTCACAAGTGAAATTCCATAACTTGTTCGGTAAAAAGCCAAAGAGTTAATTAAACATTAAGTGTTCACATCTTTTGTTATGGTAACAAAATCTAAACAATAAAATAAAACAAAAATAGACAGAGAGCTGCTGTTACATTAATTTTTACCCTTCATAGGGCAAAGAATAGTGTTTAAACACTTAGGTCCTACTTCAAGAAAACATAGTTTCCACATCAACAGTTAGAGACACTTCTGAAGAAAAAAAATCTATTAATTTTGAGAACCAATGAAACTTGTAAATTTGTTTTGTAGGTAAAATGCTGAGTCAATAATTACTAATATGTGGGGTATACATTGTTACCGCTGCCCTATACAGAATTAAAGTGAATTTATTACCAGTCCAACTCAGATGTCAATTTTATGAGTTTATGCAGTGGTGCAATTCGTTCTTGAATGAACTGAACAAGCTTCAGCAAAATACGAGACTCATAATCTACTATCTCAACCATAGTGTCACCCAGCATCCCATCTAGTTCTGTAACAAAGCAAATGGAAAAATTGTTAGATGGGAGACTAAAATCACAAGCAACATACTTCAACATGTTCGTTGCTATAATTGAGATATTTCAGTGGCTACTTCTGCTCTGAAAAAATTTTGTTTTCAGTGACATTAAAGAAAACAAACTCTGCTAACGTCTCTTCGAACTGCAGTCTGTATTTTTCAATCAATTAAAATTATATACTACCACGGTAGCACACAGACAAAATAAGATGTTTTTTTTAAATTAGTATCAGCATTGAAAGACTTTAACAGTATGCCCACTGCAGCCAGAAATTCCTGAATAGTTAAAAATTTTGTACTCTTCTTTCATTATTGCATTCACCAGTTAATATAATGTGTAAGAAATTGTAGACAGCCAACATGGGGTGGTCCTCCAGCTTGGGCATTGAGCAAAGGGCTCATAACTGTTCAACACAAAAAATCCTATGTTAAAACTGAAGACAGATCAGGTGAGGGGAGACAATATATGCACAGATAATTTTAATAGGTTAATCTTTTGGAAAATCAGCAAATGTAAGATATTAAATTGCTCAGGATCCAGTGACAGGCTATGGTAATAGCAGTGTTTAAGCAGTGGATCAGATGAGTAATCAGTGGGCTCTCATTCTATAGAATATTTTTCTTCTCTCCTAATTTACAAAGGAACACGAGCTTCAAAATGGCTACCTCTCACATTGTGGTTGATGATCACTGAACCTCAAAACAAGGTCTTGACAATCAGTTATTTATTCCTTTAGCTTCCTCATTCCTACCTTGACATCGTGCAGTCTTGTAGTGTCCTATAGTCCCCAATTTGAACTGAAACAAACACCACAGATAAAAAGGCATTTAGTCTCAATGTTTAAACTGTATTAATTTACAGGACATCATGCTATCATGGTACAGACATAATATTTCCACTTTCTATCTATAATGACCAAGGCTCTTCATGACTATCTTGTCCTTTAACAAAAGTGCTGGAAAAAACATTTTAAAAAAATATACAGCAAAACCTAGTCAGGAAGAAATACTGTGGGGCTGAAAATTAACATGAATGTGGCATAGTAGACTTAATCCACAGTTTTTTAACTCCTCTTTAAACACTGTATAAAGCATATACTGAGAAATAATTTAAAGAATTAATTACAAATTTTATCTCATCATTAGAATACATAATGAAGTCGTAATCTAAGAAGCTATAGAACTAATCAAATATTAGCCATCAGTCTGTCACTGTCTTCAGTGCATAAATGCATACCAAGAAGTCAATACCAGGCACATTCCAGTCGTTTTCAGTCATTGGCTGTTTCCATGGAGGCAAAGATAGCAAGTACCCAATCTCTGGAATGTACACAAGCGCACATTCTTTGATGTAGGGCGGTAGGTGATTGAGTTCTTCCTGCGCCACACTTGACATCAGGTCTGGTATTCCACCACAATTCTGCTTCACTGCAAATAACATTTGTGACAAATCCATTCATTCCTTCTGGACTGCGTTTCGAATAAACATCCAACCCCATTGTAAACAACTAGCTCCTTTATTGCTATTGAACCACAATGAGGCAGATTCTGATATGCTTCTAAAATAAAATCTTGCCAATATTACAAATGAGCTACTCATAGAGAAACTCTACCCTTGGTCATTTCTCTGCTCTGCATTATTGTTACTGGTATTACAACAGCGTTATTTCCTAATATCATTCATTCTCAATGAAGTACACTGGTTTAATTATGGGTTAGCTTCGAACCATTTATATAACTGTGTCTATGTTTACTAATAAACTTTTGGAATGAACTCCTTTGTTAACTAGGGGACTTACTGTACTAAAATGCAGATACATAGTAGGCAAAAGTACAGTAAGTCACAGCATCTGTACTTACATCTATCAAGATCCTCATCAACACCAAGTTTGACAACAAATGTGTTCTGAACCTCTGCTTCCTTGAAGTCAACTATTCGATTGATGCAGTAGTCTATCTGACGCATCTCTTCTGTGATGCACCCCACAATCTAAAGGAAGAAAGTTATTAATAAAATGTCACAGATATGGAAAATAAAACTTGTGACTTATAAAATGTATTTACAAATGTAAAATTAATAATAGATAGACAGCAAAGCAATAAATTGCACAGCACTAATGGAACAAACTACTGGAACTCATTTATTTTTCTTTCTGTTGTTGAAAATACTACACAGTCACAGAAGTGAACGGAACTTAGTGTCATAGCAGCAAATTTTTGCACTTAAATTGAACAGGTAAGTGTAAATCAAATCTAAAACTTCTTGACGATGGTGAAGAGTCAATTGAATAAAAATTTACTTGGATAGGGATTAGCTCTATCTAGTGGGCCCAACTGAGTAGGAACCTGAAGACGGAGATAGAGCCTCATCTCCGAAACGTCGTTTTACGTTTTTTACGTTTTATTACTAGACGATGGATAATATCCAAGTAAATTTTTATTCAGGTAAGTGTAATTTAATATGCATGAATTCCTTCAGTATTTATATTGTAAATGGTAATTATAATAATGAACTAAATTTACATTTTTGAAGAAAAAAATACAATTTCATTAACCAAATATCATAAATAATATACCACAAAGTACAAAGTCCATGTAAGACTTGAGGTTCTCACAGCGGTGAATATGAAGATTTCTGTCTTCTGGGTTATTGCGCTGTGTAGTCTGGTCGATGTTAACGTCCATCTTTAAGCTGTTTACAAAATATTCTTAACACACCTTGAATATCTGACTGATAATATTCTTAGATGCCCATAAAATGTTATTAACAAAAGGTACTTACCTCTGTGAAAAGCTTTGCCTTAGACACAATTGCCTCACAAATGTTTCCTAACATTATGCCATAATAGATGGTCTGAAACAGAGAGTTAAGACATGAGACAGAATGTTATGGAAGGTGTCTGCAGCTTACTCATTGCCCTAATGATGGAGGCAGCAAGGATCTCTGAAACACTGGTAAATGTCTACCAGACTACATGGCGCTACAACTCAAAAGATAGCCATCTTTGCACTCATTGTCATGAAAACCTTAAATCCTACTAAGAATTTAATTAATAAATTGTGTATTTAAAATTTGATAAGAATTACCACAATATTTCTGCCTAAGATTAACACTTCAGTCAACAGCCATTTTTGATGTGATAAAACCTGATATGTTCTTACTGAGAATCAAACCATGGCAGTCAGGTAGACATAGTTCTGACCTATCATGGGTTCTTCCTAACTATTATGCATTTCAAGATTACATGTATTTAGTCACTGTTACTAAAATCTGCTACTGAAATGCCACATCCTAATAGGCTAGTTCATTGTCTCTTCTGGGAACTTCCTCTTCCTACTGACATCTTCAAGGACAATTTTTTTCTTTTGTCAGGCTCTTCAAATGAATATAGTCTTACCTTATGAAGAGACTTCCACTCACGAACAGATGCTGACAGTCTGGTAAGTCTACTTAGAATTCTCTGGAAACCAAAACGGGAAATACAGGAAACTTACTACTCACAAAGCGTCTGACGTTCTTATCCGATTTCAATTGTACCATGAGGGCATGGTCTTTATATCACACATCCATTGTGGATATAATTTCATTACATTTATTGCAATTGCAAAAACACAAAAATGCCTCATTCTCTACAGTTCATCAAATGACAAGGAATCTTACAAAACAAAGGATCAGAATGTATAATCTACATAAGAGTTAGTTAGTTGTGCCTCAATTAATATTTCATTCGGTGGTCTTTCTATGACAATCTGTATCTTTAAAAAAGTTCTTGGAAGGATTTGTGATATTGATCTTTCTTTCAATTCTTAAAGTCTATATTGTGAGGCTAACAAGAATTATAAATGAATAATTACAGAAATGTATAATCAGTTTCCGCATTTAATTTTCACCAGTAAAGATTATAATCATGTCACATTTATTTTATATAACCTCAAAGTTTTGTAAAATCACCATCTTTATAATTTGTAGGGTCTTATCACTTCTACCCTAATGACAGAGGCAGTATTTTCCCCTGAAACACTGGTAACCACCTACAAGATTATATATGTCAAACCAGAAAATCATAATCAATTTTCACCATTGTGAAAACCTAAAACCTCAAATGTTTATAATTACTGACATGTAAACAACAATATTGTCTCATAATTTGTAGTAGTTATAATGTCTCTACAGACAAAATTTCAAAACAATGATTCATTAGCTATTGCTGTCAAAAGCAAGAATTAAATGTGTATTTCATATGGCTACCATGTTATTATTTCGTACTCTGCACAAAAGGTGGGGGGAGGGAACAAAAGTGGGACTTTCTTTCTAATCTCTATCATCATTTTAACTTGGGATCGACTAAAACTACCATCCAAAGAGCCTTTTATCTTTCATTTTAGAGCAGAAAATCTCAGGGCACAAGTTTCATAGCAAAGCAACAGGGAATTGTTAAAAATAACTTACTGTGATACTCTTGATGTTCTTCAAGCAGTTAAGCATGTTCTTCACTATCTCCTCATTTTTTGGTTCAACACAGAACTGAACCACATCAAGGCGTGAGTTAAGCAAATCAGTATCTCGAGAAGGATGAAGGAACATGACCCTTTAACAGTACCATACGAAGGAATAACATTACATGACCAATGACAGATAAAAAATATCCAGAAGGCAGGAAGTTTATGGACTATCTAAGTGACTACTAGTCTCTCAAGAAGGCTTCTGCTTCATGGGTTTAGTCAGAAATCAATATTTTTTACATACATACATTATGCAAATAAAAAGTGCATGTATTTAAAGATAAACAATAATCCCAATCTTCATAAACTTAAATAAAACTGAAATTAAACACTGGCAACCCCACATAAATATCTCCTGTGTTCAGCAGATGCAAAACTTGACTTAGAAATTGAAGAAAACATTTCCAGCGCACTTTATAAAATTTTGCTTTTTTTTCCCTTCACAGTACTGAAAATTATATACACAAGTTTATGTAAGCATCAAGAAAATATTGAGTGTCTGAGCACCCATTCAGTAACCAGCAACAGATAAGAACAGCTTGAAGCTATGTTTATAATCCAAAACACACTACTACATTTTAAACAGTCAATTCCATTTGATAGTTTTCCTGCAAAATAACAAAACACTATTACCTCATAAATTTGCAGCCTAGTTGAGATTTGCATCTATTGAATATCCCATACACGCTAAGGCCTTCCCTGTAACTTCCACGCACACCTCGTTTAAAGCTGGACGGATGAGCCACTTGATTGAAAATCTGCAAGGCCTCATATGTCTCAAGGCTGATCATGACAATGTCTTCCCTATTATAAAAACATACAAACATGGTTGCCATAGTACACATTATACATACATTTCTTATGAATCCACTCAAGAAGAACATGACTATTATATAAAAAATAAAATACTACATAATAAAAAATTATCGAAAAATATTAATCTCATTAATAGCAACACTTCAATATCGACTTCACTGACATACATCTAAAAATTAATGAACCATTAAGTCTTTAAGTAAAGTAGTAATTCCTGTTGTCCACATTGTACAAAAATGCAAAATCAACTTCTTTAAATATATTTTGTGATAAAAATATACTCATGAGAAATGAGTGAGCAGAAGATAAAAGTTCTTCTTATTTGGTAACAAAATTATATAAAATCGAGAAATGTGAGAGGATGAAGGCAGAATAAGAAGAATGAGGAAAATTTACCAAATGGTTGGAGATGTAACATGGAATTTGAAAAATTAAGATTTGGTTAAATTTAAACTAACTTGCCTATTTTTATATACGTTAGAAATGTGGGCATCTGTAAAGAAAAACTAAGTACATTACAAGAAGTGCCAAAGAAGTTTCTACTGAGTATTAGAAAAAGGAACAGGAAAGGATAACAATATAAACCAAAGCATTAAACTAAATCACCATGATGATGGAGGCAGTGAGCTGAAACTTCAACCAATATCTACCGGACTACATCCCAGAAGACAATCATCTCCATGTGCTTGTAACCTTTTTGTGCTTGCATGTGTTTTGAAATAAGAATCTTGCCAACTCACAGTGAAATAGTATTAACAGCCATAACGGTAGCTTGAGTCTGTTGATCAAGATGTAGGAAACCCCAAGATACATCAAGCCACTTTAGCAGAACACCGAGGGCATGTGTCATGGATTCATTTGTCATATCAATTAGTGAGTTCAGGTACATGAGATGTTCCTCTTCATTACAATCTTTTGGTTCACTTGGAAGTTTTAACAAGAAGATTCGCCTTCTGCAAGCCTCAAAATCTAAATTAAAACATAGAAATAATTATAAATTAAAAATGGAACTAGGAAACACAACTAAAACTTATACATGATTAGATTCGTTTCTCAATTCTTTCTTTATGGAAGCCAGATTTGGAAAATGGCACA